GTCCTTGGTGGTTCATTTTCACCAACCCAGGTAGAATTGCTTGACTTTCGACCAATCTGTCTGTGATAAATCCACGTCTCATCACCGGTGATGATATCACATAATTGCCATGTTCCGTTCCTAAATTTCTCTAAATTTTGACGACAAATTCGAAGTCTTTTTTGTTTTTGTTCGTCAGTAAGTTGGTGAGCAACCCAACGTGACACAACTTTTCTCATCTTTAGATGATCATGGATAATTCGTTCTATTGTACCACGCGATAGATCAGTCTTAACAATAATATCTTCGTAAGTTGAGTGGGGATCATCTTCGATAACTTGTCGAACACATTCAATATTTTCAACTGTAAGAATTGAAATCGGACGACCAGATCGAGGATCATCACTGACATCTTCTCTTCCTTCACGAAAACGTTTTGCCCAATTTTTAACCATTGAGTATGATGGACCATCAGGTCCCAATGCTTCTGTAAGTTCGTCGAAGATTGTTTTTGGATTTATTCCCAAAATAACTCGAATTTTGATATAGTATCGATTAAATTCATCAGTCATGTTTGATAACTTGTTTTGCAATTGAAATCAAATTTTATCACGATCTGAAGTCGGGTGCGGTACAAATGAACTGACAGTGAATAACCTCTCATTTATATATACTATCGAAAGGTAATGTTCTAGAACATGACGTCATTAAATGGAACGGGGGAGAAAGTGACCAATGGGAAATATGAACAGTTCCAGAATATACCTTAACATTGGACAAGGAATAGTTAAACATTAACATAGTCGCTAAATTATGAACTTAGTCTCGCAGAATGCCAGAACTAAATCCAAGATAGAGCAGCTCTATAGATTATTAAAGACAAGACATGATATTATATATTCCCATAATAAAATATTCAATATTTACTGTTTTCTAAAATTTTAAACATTGGGCCACGAACTTTTGGTACGCCCTAAGTATCTACGTGATGATATGTATATATATGCACATTGAATAATTTTGTAGTATTTTCTTTGGATATCTCATTAACGAGCATGTTAGAGTAATTTGTGAGTGTAGATTAATTCTCTAGATGAACTTTTTTGCTCTTGTTCTTGATCCAGACAGTTCTCCAGATGTGTCAGTAGCGCATAACTTTCTTGCTCAAGATAAGCGCTTGAGTGTTAGCATGGATTAGAAGAAAATAGAACTAGGAATTTTTATTAAAAGTTGACTTATTTTAAGCATAAAATTGAAAAAAAAACTTAAAAAGTTCTTTAATAAGAGAAATGCTTGGATAAAAATTCAAGCGCATAAGCAAGAATTTCAACTGCATGAACAAGAATATCAAGCGATAGAAGAAGTTCAAGGCCTTGAGCTTACCGAACGGTCTCAAGTCTTGTCTCAAGATATGTCCATACCGTATGACATTCTTGTTCAAGATGTTTATGTTTTTCATGTGTATGGCACAAGAAGAAGTTCGACTAGGGTTGACTGGTTACTTGAGATGTGATCGGTGTAGTATATATGAAAGTAGATCATAGCAGGCCATTGAGTATACAGTTCAAAGTTCAAAGATCAATGAGTACATTTTAAAAAAGAAAAAACATTCTAAAACAGACACACACATTTTGTAGGCTTCTATGCCATGCACGTGATGGTGTATGTATACACACACACAAGGCGCAGCATCTTGAGTGCGGTTGCCGCGAAATCTTGATCCTAGGCAAAACGCAGATTCTCTTGAGAAAGGAAATTTCTAGTATTCATGTGAAAAATGAGTGTGTGAGGGTGAGGATGATTCTCGGTATGCCAGGATCCAAAGGATTTCATGATCCCCGAAAAGAACAACTCCTCAGTTGGCTTTTGGCTCTGCTATAGTTGTTCAAATAATTCTAAATAAATAGAATCATAAACGAACCATATTAATCTATGCAGAACTTTACAATCTTAATCAAAAGTAAAGAACAATAGATATCACTATAATCCGTGTGAGATTAATATAAGGATTAATCAAAAGCTAGCAAAACGCGTTGCGATTATGCTTATTGAATCTTGTCAATTAGTAGTGATTTGAAGTTGTTATTTTAAACTCTCCTACTATGTCAGAACTAATGATGGAGAGCCCGAAGACTTCCAATAATTAGATGTGCATAATATAGCAATATCAAAGAAATAAAGATGTCTCCGATAAAGCGATAAACGAGAAACTCCTTCAAATGAGGTAAGATTAATATAAGAATTAATCAAAAGCTAGCAAAACGCGTTGCGCTTACGCTTATTGCATAGAATATAAGATAATAGTTCTCTTCATGGGACTCGAACCACATATTTTCTGCTGCTATCCGGGCAGTTGTCCTACCAATTAGACGAGATGAGATTTTATTAGATAATCAATCAAAACTTTCAAATAATTTGAAGTAGTTATGACTAAGTGTAATAATTCTTATTTTCTACAAAATATAGAATATATATATATATATCAGCTTGTACGAGCGTAACGCGATGACGTTTTGGCTGCACTTCTTTTCATTTTTCTCAAGAATAGCAGCAACTAGACCATTTATTTTTTTATCAAAACTTATATCTCCATCAACCCCATACCCTCTAAAAATATCAGCTTCCTTCAGTGAATCGTTTGAGGATCAATGTGAAAACAAATGGCGTAACGCGATGACGAAAAAGGGACCCAAGACGTGAGGGGTGGTCTGTTTGCTTTTTACTTTTCTGCGAATGTGTACCTAACATATGAAAACGGTCAACAGTAAGTTTGTAGCCAACAGCTTAATGTATCTGCCGGATGATAAAACATTTCGAATATTTCTCTACTTTTCAAATCACCTCACTTAAACTAACGTAACGCGATGACGCTTGATTTTTAAGAGAGTTTGCATCTATATTTTCTTTTACTCAGTATATAATCTTATAAAAGCAATACAATGAATTTTCGATATCTGCAACAAAAAGATCTTTAACATCTCGTTTAATGATAAATTCAATACAAAAATTTTAAAAAAATGACATAGATTTTATATCAAGTAACGAGTATATAGACATACAAGATATTTTTACAATGGTGAGCGGACAACTGATCACAGGAAATTGATCATGGGACAACTGGTCACGGGCAATTGATCATGGATAATTGATCATGACAGACAACTGATCACGGCGGACGACTGATCATGAATAACTGATCATAAAGGAAAATTGATCATGAAGGACATGAGATTATTGTTATCGTTTAGGGTGGGTGTGTGGGTGGTGTGGGTGTGGGTGGTGTGGGTGTAGACGTGTGTGGGTGGGTGTGTGGGTGTGGGGTGTGGGTGTAGGCGTGTAGGCGTGTGTGGGTGTGGGTGGGTGTGGGTGTGGGAGTAGGTGTAGGTGTGGGTGTAGGTGTGGGTGTAGGTGTAGATGTGGGTGTAGGTGTGGGTGGGTGTGGGTGTGGGTGTGGGTGTAGGTGTGGGTGCGGGTGTGAATTTATTTCTTATTTTTAAAACCCACACCCACACTCGCACCCACACCCACCCACACCAACACGCAACATCCACACCTACACCCACCCACACTAACACCCACTCACACCCACACCCTCTCTCTGTTCTTTTTTGTTTGGAAATAAATGACAATTATCAATTATCGAACGATTTTTTATGATCAACTGTTCAAGATCAGTTGTCCCTTATGATCAGTTGTCTATGATCAGTTGTCGTCATGATCAGTTTTTCCATGATCAGATGATCATGATCAGTTGTCCGTGATAAGTTATCCCATGATCAGTTGTCCTAGACCCTTTTACAATGATTGGATAAAATACTTCGTAAGTGAGAAATAATACAATGTAAAAGTAAAGAAAATAAATACTTCACAGGAACAGAAATATTTTTCATCAGTTTCAAAGATAATTCTAGTATGTTTGAATGAGAGAAGACTGTAGTTAAATTACAAGAAATTCGATAGTCTATACAGTGTTTCATTTTAAACAGAAAATCGAAATTTTTTTTTTGTCGAGGTGCTTGAATAATTTTATTGAATGAATTTTTTTAGTTTCCGGAACGCTTTTAGTTGCTATGAACAACTGTTCAAGTTGACCTTTCGATTCATCGATACAATCTTGTGTTAGTTCCATGACATTGATTGTAGTTGTTTTTGATTGAGCAATTTTCACAATAATCTGCAGCCGAGGTGCATCTTTCACCACTCATAATTGCACGATGTACAAGACGTTTCAAAGTCTCTCCCACGGCATCCACGACACCTTTGCCGTGAGAGGTAGCAAAATAATGCCAACTTAAATCCACCTAGAATTTAACGATTGATTATTGCTAAGGATTGACTAAAAATCAATATCGCTGTTTACCTTATGTTGTTGTGACAAACGACATACATTTCGAAACAAAAATTTCTGTTTGAACTGCTGGCTTGATCCATCCGAAACTATATGAATTTGTTGTAGATGTTGGAATCGTTGGGTTAATTGTTTGAGTAAATTATCAATTAAAGCATTGACACAGTATTTATCATGTGTTAAGTTGTTGGAAATGTACACGAAAGATTCACCACCACCACCTGCATACCACACATAAGTAGTAAATAAAGATACAGCATCTTGAGAATAATAAGAATTTCGAACAGCATTTTGCATACATAAACGAAAATTCTCACTAAAATCCACCTGTATACAAATAATTTCATCATTTGAAATAATTTTCATTTTTTCAAAAAATGCAGCTTGTTGTCGTTTAATAAAAACATGGTTCAAGAATGGTTCAATTTTTTCCTTTAAAGTTAATAAACATTGATTAATTGCATCATTAAATTCAATTTTTTTTGTTTTTCCATCTTGTAAAACCCATTGAAACCATTGAATACGTTTGGTTGGATTAATTACATTTTTCATAATATTATTATCAAAATTATGTGAACATAAATGGCAACAACTAAACATACATTTTTCTTCTTGTTCATCACAAACGAACATCGACGTGAATTCTTGAAGTGAATTTAAACCATCACAACTAATATGTTTTGACAATGGTTTTATCAACAAATTTACATTCTCATGATAAATGCATAAACAACTACGGTGAGGCATGTAAGAATGTATCAATATATTCACTGGACGTAATTCATTAAATGAAGTTAATGACAAGTCGACATTTTTATTCGAATATTCATTAACAAATAATTGATATGTTTCACGTATGTTATATAATAAAATTCGTGTTTGTAATGTCATTGATTCACCATTATCATCTGTGACTGTGACATAATCACGTTTACCAGGTAATTGATAGGTAATATCATCTCGTTGATAAAATTGAATGATTAATTCTTTCAGTTCGATCAATAATAAACGTTGTTGACGTGTATGTTGACGAGTTGTTTTCGAGATAATATTAAGATTTTGTGCAAGATGTTGTACGAGCATTATACGTTTGTTAGTATCTTTTGGCAATGAATGAACAGCACGCTTAAGTGCTGTTCCTAATGACTGACGACATTTATACGAAAATTGATGACCATTTTAATTTTTTAATTTTTTTTTATCACGATATTTTTTTGATGCTTGTTTCTGTCGAGCTCGTAACTGATGCAATAAAGCATCTTTTGAACTTTGACGTCTTGAATTATCTCGAATACGAGCTTTTCGTTTCATTTCGTCGAATTTTGATTTATTTTTTAATAAATTTGTACGATAGAGCTTTTGTCTCTTGGCATTTGATTTAGCCATTTCACGAGTAACGAATGGAAAATGTAATAAAAATTTCTCTCAAAACAATTTTTCAATATTCTTTTATAGAGTATAAAGTTCGAATTAGACTGAGAATAGAATCTGATTCATTTGAATCAGAGTGATAATTGAATTGGATTGGTGTTTTTATTTGAATTTTGTATTATCAGTCTGGACCAATCAATCCTATTTTTATATTGATTTATCAATCATCATTTATAGAATATGATAGCAAATAAATCCTGGCTCTTTAAGTCGTAAACCATCGCGCGAAATTAGTTTTTTCTTAAGTAAGAAAAAAATAAAAAATTGAAAAATCGTCATCGCGTTACGAAATATTATTTGAATATAGAATAATTTTTAAATAAAAATATCTGCGTTGAATAGCCCACGTAAAGTTAGCTTTGTGCATCAAGTTTTTATAAAAAAAATATCAAGGCTTACTGGGCAGAAAAAAACAATACATCATTTTTTATAACGCGATGACGCGATAAAAACAGAAGTTTTGTAGAACGCTGCCGAGGCACACACCAAAGTATTAGAAACCAATTGTTTTACCCAATGATGGTTCTGTCAACGTAGAGTTCCCTGATAATAAGCAACTTTGTATCCATTAAGTTGTTTCAATGTATGGGTACAATTAACTAATAGACTGTATATATTAGATTTTGACTGTCTATTAGTAACATTTTTGTCGCCAGTTACTATTCGCGATTTTCTGCGACAATTTATATTACAAAATCAGTTTCTATATGTTTTCGAATATTCTCTCCAACATGGTGACAATGATTTCTAAACGTATCGATTTCGAATTTACGCCATTGAAGTTACACGTTACGCGTACAAGCTGATATATAATTGATGTAATTATTGTTCACGGAGTGTTTAAGCTGGTGCTTTATTTTTTAGCAATTTTTTTCGAAAGCAATGCTTCACTTTGGCCAGAACTTTTCACTTGTTCTAAATATCAAGTAAAATTGTTGGTTCAATATGTCTAAAATCAATTAATGATTAACAAATACATGTTGAACACATGCTTTTTTGTGAATTGTTATCAACTTGATAGATCAGGATAAAAGATATAAACCTTTTTTATACTCGAATGTTAGTCATAGAACACTATGTTTTCCGTATTTTCCATATTAAATATTGTTGGACAATAAGTACGTGAATAATAATATGAGAATGGTGAATTTTTTTGTTGTTGATTGAAAAGTTTTTTTTTGTAAACCTGATGCGTTAGTTGGGCAATAATTGAGTAGTGTTACATGTGAAATAAGATGCTGATTTTTTTTCATTCGTGTATCTTTTCAATGTTTTACACAAGATAATCTTTGAACGATTGTTATATTTAAGAGTTTTTTCGATAACAATACAATGGAGTAAGACGATGAAGAACCTAGTCATGTTTGATGAAAGTTACAGAATCATGAAATTTATGGATTATTTCGCAAAGTAATATTCGACTAATCTCCAAGTAAAAGTGTTGCTTCAATTTGTTTAAAATCAATATATGCACATTGACCAATTATATTATCAATTTTTAATAACTTGATACATCCATAAGAAATCTACACGTTCCATACGTTGTAATGTATCTGATATAATACTAGCTTTTTCAATATGAACAATATTACAGATTGTTAGATGATAACGGCGTGATGTATCAATCACCTCGTATTTTCTGCAAATATTGATCGAACAACGAAAAGCCGTTGAGGTATCAAATGCCCCTTATTTTCGCCGAATGCAGATCGAACAACGAAAAGCCGTTGAGGTATCGAATGCCTCTTATTTTCGCCGAATGCAGATCGAACAACAAGAAACTATTGAGGAGGTATTGATTACCCATTATTTTTACTAGGCCATAAAGCAGTAAATCACTTTCAATTTTTGAGAGATTACTTTCTCATCGATTCGTTATTAGTGGCCGATCGATGCATATATATTGGCGGTGCACGACCATAGAAAAACACCATTCTTCTCATACTTGCTCATATTCATCTACCACTGTGTCCTCAAACATTAAACAGTAACAGAGGGTGAGTTTTCGAATTACTCCAAGCTACTTACAACGTGTTTCGTCCTTGCCTAAGGGATTCGTCAGGTAAATTTGGAATTGAATTTATCTGCATAGAATAGTCTCTCTCAAAATTCAAAAGCAAGTTATAAGCGTCAATGAAAAGACTCAACAGCAATCTAATGTCGAGATAAAATTCCTTTAGATATTTGATTGAATCTCTTCATGGGACTCGAACCACGTATCTTCTGCTATCCTGGCAGATGTCCTACCAGTAGCAATTAGACGAGACGAGATATTTTTAGATAAATCATAACTCTCCAATCAATATATATATATTTGTGAGCCAGTCGTGTCTTGTTAGGACGACAAACAGGCTTGCTTATCTTCCTGGTCGTCTGTAGCGTCCGCAGTCTTATCTCTCTCTCTCTCTCTCTGCACCGCACCCTAATATATATACCTACCCAGTCTTGCACATTCTTATTTTGTGTCAGTTTTTTAAAGCGTGTCTGTTGCACAGATTTGTTTTTTTTCCTAAGCAGCATCTCAAAACAACTTACCAATGAAGGCTGGGACAATAGTTTTCATGTTTGTGCAATGCGCGCTGCTTGTGCTTGGCAACAAGTGGGACCAGCCCAACGATCCGTCGACTTGGAACCCGTCGTTCCAGTACAAGCTCGACAAACTGCCGACGAGTGGCCAGTCGTCAAAGACCCCATGGAGTGACACGTACTGGCCGAGCTATCAGGGTGGCATCGCGAATCGCTGGCAGGACGAAAAGAACAACCAACCCGGCTTCAACTTCACGTTGTATAAGCTGGAGGAACTGAAGAACGGTAGTGTCGACCTCAATATCCTGTCGCCGGCGGAGAAGTTCGATATCTTCAATTCGCGCTATGACTACCCGCTGTTGAACTCGGAGTGGCAACGCTGCCACCCCAGTGACGCGAGCTGGGAGGGCATCTGCCACGGCTGGACCCCAGCCGCGATTCGCTACGAAGAGCCGAACAACGTGACGATGAAAAACAAAGACGGCCTTGAAATCCCATTCGGGTCGAGCGACGTGAAGGCGCTGCTATCGTACTTCTTGGCACAATTCGCCTCGGACCAGGAGAAGGTCAAGTTCATTGGTGAGCGATGCAACACGGACCTCCAGAAGAACCCCAAAAAGGCCGACAGCCCCGAGTGCTGGGACGCCAACCCCGCAAGTTTTCACGTCATGTTGACGAACATGATCGGCCTCGCGAAAACGGCATTTACCGCCGACATCGATCGCAGCTACGAAGTGTGGAACCAGCCGATGACGAAGTACGAATACACGCTCGGCAAGACGAGCGCGCCGACGAACACTTCAGCGCCCGGGACGGTCAAGGGACAGTCGGTGAGCTTAACGATGTACTACGTTAAAGAGACCTATCCATCGGCAACAGCGCACAAGCCGCTGGTCCTCAACAAGAAATACGACTACCTCCTAGACCTTGATGCCGACGGCAACATCCTTGGCGGGTCTTACGACGAGAATCAGTGGGACCGCGTCGATTTCATGTGGGCCGAGGAGGAGCCGGCGTTTTTCGGCTACTTCAAGGAGCTGGACACGATCTACAAGGCGTCGATTGGTGGTCATGAGAGAAGGCGTTTGGTTTCGCGACGCCCTCGCGTCAGCCTGGCGGACTACAACGCAATGATGGTGACGACCGGTGGCATCAGCCTGTCATCGTACGACGCGAGCACGCGCCTCTCGTGGTTGGTGCCTGCCGACGCTAGCCGCAGCATGCGGCTGCAATTCACGTCCTTCAACACGCGCCGCTTCACCGACTCTGTCCGCGTGTTCGAGGTAGAAGATGGCCACATCGGTGCGCCGATAGCCGTGCTGCACGGCTCGTCGCTGCCCAAGGACATCGTTCTTCGCCCGGGCGTTTCGGCGCTTGTCACATTCAGCGTTGACCAGATGGCCGCGCGCCGCATGTCGTTGGCGAAGGGCACTGGCTTCGAGCTCTTCATCCTGTGAGAAGATAGCCGTCACTTTCTATCTTTCTTGTTTCTTCCTTTTGCAACCGCTTAAAGTGACGCATTCAAAAATCAATAACTCCAATATATCTTTGACAATATTTTTTGCTTGATTTTGCTATTCGCTAAAACCGTTTGCAAATAGCCTAGCAATAAAACGTATTCTACCCGAATTTCGAGAACTACAAGTGATTTCAGGTTTTGAAGGTGTGGGTGAGGTGTGAGGGTGAGACCAGCAGCCATAATCTATAGATTTCACTGTCGCTACGATGGTAAAGAGAAAAAATTATTTTTTTTACTAAACGAAAGCGCTATCTTGAGGGGTGAGGGTGAGTCGAGCTACCATGATATCGATATTTCACCTAAGCAACTAGGATTTTCAAATGGTCACGTATCAATTCAACATAAGTTAAATCAATACAGAGTTAATTCTATACTGTTGGGGTGTGGGTGTGTATGAGAGTAAGTGATTCAAATTAGAATCATATCTAAAGCTAGCAAGACGCGTTTCGATTACTGCTAAGTAATCATTATCAATTGCTTATAGATATAGATAGAAATGAATGAATGAATGAATTCTCCTAGTAGGACAATTAGCTAATATCAAAAGTTCTTTAGATGAACTTCCAATCTGTTAGTTAATTTTAACTAATGTCAAGAGTTTTAGAAG